TATAAAATCAGATCAAATATGACAAGACAACATTCAATCGAGAATTTACTTCGAGAACGATCATTTTGTTTTCAAGAAAGATATTGATGGCACCAAATACTCGAATGCCAGGCTTTTGTTTATCACCTACTTGTTCTAATTCACCAGCCACTTGTGATAAGTTCAGAACTAATGATCTGTTTGAAATCCAATGAACATCATCAAAAATAATCCTTAGTATTGTTACCTGGGTGCTGCAGTAAATGGAATACCAAGATGTTGTGTCACAGTCGATCGCGTCAAAGTCGTGAAATCTGAAACGTAGATTTGGAATCTTTTTGTTTCTGACATCATTTTCATCTGTTACTTTGTAGATCTTCAGGTGCCATCATATGTAACTTGAAGTTTCTTCGAACGAGAATTCCACTAAGAATATTTCCTTCGACAGGTTTCTCTGCAGCTAATTGGCCAACCACTTTGGCGGTTTTCTCACCACGAAACCGTAACTCCACTGACTGAGTGTTTTTGGGTGTGTAAACCAACAGTTTACATTCCGGATCATCTTCGAATTTTCGAATCAAATGCAAACGCAATCGATTCATTTCCGTGCTTTCGCCATGAACGAGTATCTAACACAAAACAAAATAGACAAACAGTGTTTCATTCTACTTCGCAATCGAAATCATACCACATGTGGTGGTCGAAGTTCTCGGATAAAATCGGTTGTTTGGTTACAGTCCGTATGAGCAGAAAACGAGATATAATCAACTGAGCATTTCAGTGGAAGTCGTTGTCCGCCCATGGTTGTGATTTCTTCTGGTTCAGATAAAATCATCTAGAGAAGATCATTTGCAAACATAATCTATGTGGGTGTGTCATACTTTTGCGAGTGTTCCTTCAACACAATAACCAGCAATGATTACGCCATTTCGTCTATCTGTACACCAGCATTCGAATAATTCACGACTGAGACCACTTTGCATCATTCCTGGACTAGCTAACACAACACAAGGACCAATATCATCGAAATCATCGATAGTCTAAAACAAACGAAAAAAAAATAATCAGAATAGGAGATGTGTCGATAGTTTACTTTTAAACTGGCAATGTGTTTGAATTTGAATGGATTCGAAACTGCACTTTGTTTACGAATTCGATCATTCATTGCATCAATATACGTCTGATAGACAGACATACATTTCTTTGCTAATGATGACGCATAGTAAATTGGAAAATCATGAAGTTCAGGATGTGAGGCCCAGTATTCGTCTATCAAAGAATTCAAAAGAAAAGTCAATAGAGATTCGTTACAAATAAGTTTTACCAAGAATAAGAAGAAGTTCTTGTGCCCGACCAAGCGCAAATACAGGAATAAGACATCGGCCACCTCGTGTGACTATGTCGTGAACAAGACGTGTGAAACGATTTTCACGTTGTTCCCGAGGTTCGTGAACATGAACACCGTAAGTTGCTTCCTAAACTCGACAAAGAATTGATGCCAATCGAAGATTATGATGATTTCTTACGGTAACAAGTACGTCTGGTCGAAGATTTGGAACTTCTGCTGCCATTAAATGTCGATCTTCTTGTCGAGAAAAGTCTCCTGTATATAAAATCTAAGACGAACTATTCGTTTCCACCACTGATTTTATTAGTGAACTCACTTTAACACCTGCAATTTCGATCATAAACATTGCAGCACCTAACACATGTCCTGCGTGATAACACCAAAATTTGATTCCATTCACTTCGATTTCCTATGAAGAAAACA